TATTATTCACAAGAAATGTTTTGATAGACAAAAAAATATTAAATGGTTTCAAAAAGTGCACATACTGTTATTATTATGTTATTATTTTTATTAGATTTTTGAAGATGGATATATTAAGGATATATCAATTTTCATTTTTTTAAACATAACCATATATTTTTTTTATATATGAATTGATACAGTTTTTAATTCTGTATTAACTCGTATATGAAAAATTAGTTTAGAAGATATTTTGATATAAATGTTAAAAAAACTCACTAATGATTTTTATACCAATATTATTGCAATAAAAATATGATTTACAGCGTTATGAAATATAAACATTTGAGAAATTCTATTATTATCTTGATACGGACATTTAACTTAATGAATAATTGTAAAAATGAAATACACTAAAAAAGAAATTAGATATGTTATCAATTTTTTTTGAAACTCAAAAAATGTAGAATGATTGTATTGTTCTGATAAAAATCATCCATATCGTTGAATGTTTTTAAGTGATTTTCATTTTAGTTGGAGGAATTATATGAAAAATTTATTCGATATAAGAATGATAAACAATCTAAATGAATAATGAAATTGCAATTTTAGCTACAGTTATATTAAATCCATCTTTGAGTTGTAGTAAAATTGAAAGACAATCTAGAATTAATTAAATGAATATTATATATATATTTTATAAGCATAAATTTCACATATATTACTTTTTTAAAATTTAAAAATTATATATATATAGCTCATAATAATTTTTATTGTTGTGTAAAATTTTCTGAATAAATTTTCTTTGAAGATGTTGATTTTTTAAAAAATGTCATGTTCACGGATAAGATTACATTTACAAAGGATAGAAAGTTTTAACAATATTATATCAAATTTTTAATATCATATTTTAATAATATTTATATCAAAATATTTCATAATAATTCTTTTTCAACATTATAGATAATTAAAAACTGCATTGATTAATGCATAAAAAATATATGGTTTTATTTAAAAAATGAAAGTTGATCTTTATATGTTCTTAATATAAAAACCTATAAAAAATTAATAAGCTAGTATATACCTCTTAAAATTATTTAATAATCATAAAAACATTTTTCGCTGCGAATAATAATGATTTAACATAATTCAAGATAGTTGATATTTAATATTTAATAAGATATAAAATATAAAAGATATATACATACAATATATATATAATTATGGAAAAATTAATAGATTATAATATTCCTATTATTATAATTTTAGTTAATTTCGATCATTCAAAAATTTTTTTATATTTTATTTTTACATTTTGATATGAAGATTACTATCATTACATACTATCATATACATTGTTATGGAAATATGTAGGTAGAATTTAATATATAGTACAAAAAGTTTTTTTTATAAATAATCGACCATTGATTATATATGAACAAAAAAAAAATTGTTTAAAATGAAATTTTTATAAATTTTTTTAAAATTATTAAAATTGGTAAAATGAAAACTAATGAATTTACTGGGGATTTAAGGATTTAATAATAATTAATAAGATCAATAAGATTGATAATCAATAAGAAATTAAATTTATTTTAATAGGTTCAACAGGACAAACTGATCCTGGTGGAAAATCTGGACTACCTATTTCTGGGACAAATGTACAAGAGCAGAAGACAACTTTGAAAACTTCTACACCACAGCTTACTGGTCTTCCATTTTCAGGACATTCTACAGGAACTACTTCTGGCAACTATTATCCTGGACAAACTTTAACAACTGAACAAGTGTTCAATGCAGGAATAGCTTCAAATCAACATCAATCTGGTGGTCAATTGAATGTTACTGACACATCTGAACAATCAAATTTTCCTAGGCCACCAATAGGACAAAGATCTAAAGTTGCACTATTACAAGGACAAAATGTATCTTCTAGTTCATCTTTACCTGGACAAAATTTTTCTAATCCAATAATATCTGGACAACCAAATTTATCAGGGCCTCCATTATCAAATCAACAAACGCATAAAGATATGCTTATGCAAGGAACACACGGGCAAAATTTAATTGGACCATCACTATCAAAACAGAGTTTGTCAAATCCACTATTACAAACTCAACAAAATTTATCTGGACCTTCACTTTCTACACCATCATTACCAGGACAGCATTATTCTTCATTACAAGGACACCAAAAGCCTGGTCATTCTTTTCCAGAACCGCAAAATATGCCTATCTCTAATTTATCTGGTCCTCCATTAACAAATCAACAAAATATACATCCATCCCCAATGTCTGGTCAACAAAATGTTGCTCAATCTTCATTAATGAATCAACAAGGATTTAATAGACCACCAATGTTAGGACCACAAAATTTACCTGGTTCACAAATGCCTCCATTACCTGGTCAATCAGCAGGACAAATGATAAATTCTGGTGCAACTTTATCACAATCTGGTCAAAGATCATATACATCTGGACCACCAATACAAGGACAACATATAGGAAATCCTGCAGGAATCAGTCGTAGTCCAACCAGTGCAATGCCAAACTATCAACATACAGGATATCAAGGCTATAATAATGTATATTTGAAAAATAACATAATTATAAATTTATCATAATCAATCATATTATAAATATTTTTTTTTTATTTTATATAGGATATATATAATGCTCAAAGAAGTTCATATCAAGGTGGTACACCAAGTGTAACAGGTAGATATCAATCAGGCATGCAACCACAACAAACTAGACGTTTAGATCCTGAACAAATGCCAAGTCCAGTAAGAAATTAATTCAAAATTACAACTTATTATAATTTGATTTGGTTCTTTAGATTAATTTTAAATATATTTTCAAAGATTCAAGTAATTCAAGATGATCAACGCGCAAGAGGTGGTGTATTTATAACTAATCAAAAGGGTTTGGTTCCACCATTAGTAACCACCAAATTTGTAACGCAAGATCAAGGAAATGCATCTCCTAGATATATTAGAT